GCTGCACAAGACATTTCTGTTTTTTTTTTTTTTCAGTTTTACAACTGTCTTTTGGAGAAACAACTTGGGCTTAAGTTCTCCTCTTTTGTAATAATTGCATTATTATTTAGTAATAATGCAATGTTAGACTACTGGTAAAGTCCTGTTTTCTTATTGTACTTAAATAAAAGTAAAAAAGTGAAAGCATCAACACATACTTTAAAACAAGTTAAAGGACTCATTCTGCATATTGTTGTATTTTAGTCAGTTAGCATCCTGTTTCTATGATGCCTCTTTACCATTTTTACTGCACTTTTGATTACTTTTTACTTTGAACTTTCAGATTAATATCACACGATTTAATCAGATTAACATACCACACTTTTTTTACCAGACTTTATCAAATGTATACTGAATTGTATATTAGTAAACAATCAATATTTATAATCCCAAAAATTGGCACAATGGGAACCAAAGGGCCCCAGCACTCCCTTTTCCAGCTTTCGAACGTGAGAGCTGCGGAGTGGTGCTGCCCTCTACTGGAGGATGATGAGTATTGATGCAAACGAACCTTTTTTCTACATGTCATGTTTATTTGAAGAAAAATAAAGGTAATTCAGGTTCCACTTACGAGGTGACTTCCGTGGCTTTCTGTCACACTTCTTGGCCTTTACGATGCCTGGAGTTGGCTCGGTTTTCCTCGAGACGGAGAGACGATTCAAGGTGAACATTAATGGTGTTTCAGAAATGTTTCCTAAAAAGCCTGCACAATTATTAACATCACTCAAAACACGTGATTGCGCACATGCAGATAAATTAGTGAGTTGTTACCGTCTGACTGTTTTTTTTTTACTAAAACACCAACAACAAAGCCAATCAGAACTTGAGATCATTATTTGATAGCATTTTAGGCAGCTTTGATGGGTTTGGTCTTTAAGCTTTAAATAATCTTAATATATTTTCATGATTACCTTACATTTTGAATAACAGTGTGGTTTTCTCACGGTGAACCAAAGAGTCGTAGATGAATTTCCTTGGTAGCCTATTTTCATTGCATTATTTGGGTTTTCGATTATCGACAGTACACCTTGAGGTCACACACTGTAATGTTAAGTTGCTATCTGCTGTATCAAAGTTTAAAACATCTCTCTCGTTTATTATTTTATTTATTTTGAGAAGCAGATTATTGTTCTTCCCCCGTTTCATGATCCCATTCTCATTTCTTCCTAAAATGTTGTGCACCCACAATGCAGTTTTTCAGAATACAATAGACCCAGTCAACATCATTGTCTTGGCAAGGCTGCAAAATATACAGAAAAAACACACAAAAACACAAAAACCATTAACTCAAGACAAACAATCACTTTAATGGAAAAATGTATTATAATTGTACCAAAAAAAATAGACACAACAGGCACAGCATATCTGACATTGTACACTTTCATATCAAAGTGTGTAGGCTATTTGTTGACCACATTGACTTCATTGGGATAACATATTATTTGTAAATATAGTTTCTGGGGACCTTTATAACTTCACCTAGCAGCAGCTTTATTCTTTTCCGGTCAATTAAATAGGCTATCGTGAATCTGTGTGAGATTTTTTTTTTTTTTTAACATAGATCAAAGTTTTCTCTCTGAGTTTCAGGGTTAATCAAATAGTTTGGATAGTAAATGGATTGTGAGTGGGTTTGAGTTTCGGGACCTTTTGTGTTACCTTTGAAGCAGTTACCAGACTCGCATCGTGACAGCAGCACACCCGCTGAATTAATAATCACATGTTGGATGGTGTGGAAAACGAGCGCACATCTTACGCTTTCCTTCTGCTTTTGGTGCTGCAGTATGGAGCAATCACTGCCCAGACTTCACTTCTTTGCGTTTCACCGTGACACAGCTCGATCAGACCAATGTATTCAGTAATAAAGACAGTCATGTGCTCGGCTGTCAGTGTCACACACACGCGGACATTTAAGGTGATCAGGATTCAAGGTTACCATCAAACTAGGAATAGGCCTACAATTTACAATCAAAAATAATATCGATAACTCAATTATGTAATTATTTTACATTTTGTACGATTCGCAGCCATGCTGTGCGTAATATAACTGAGGAACATTTGCGGTTTAGGATTTATGGGATGTAGACTATAAAATTGACATGACTAATCCAGTCACGTTATCACCCGATCACTTTTTAATTTAACATGTTTCTCCGGAATGGATCAAAAGAATAAAATCGATGGCAAACTGTAATTGTTATTAAGAAAACGTTATTTAAATGTAAAATGTGACACTGATTATTTCTCAGGCCATAGGATCTAATCCTGTAAATTGAAGACAACGATTAAAAAAATTATGGAGAGCAATTTGTAATTTAGACTGCATCAATAAGGAAATATGTCATGACTTTATTGTTGCGTTTTTCTAATTAGACAAATAATCAATTCGTAAGCATACAATATCTTTATATTGTTGAATAAATGCTCCTTTGAATTAAAAGCTGTATTCGTTCAGGTCAGAGGGTGGGGGCGTGCCGACGGTCTGCATCTCTCATGAGTTTTTGCGTAAAGCAGACTAATGAGGGATGAGATGCGTCTTGTTAGGAAACATCACATGTTTGTGCACTCAGCGGACCCAGATTCAATTATTGGACGTCAGGACAAGCAGGAGGATCACTTTGGAGAGCTAAACGGGCAGAGAGAGACACAAGCTCTCTCGGGGAACACGTATTAGGCTACTAGATATTTAATGTGTCAGGCATTTTTTTGGGAAAGATTTGGATAAGACACTTTCTTGCTGAAGAGTGGAAATGGAAGGCTTGCTATTCGTTATTCTCCTGGTTTGTGCCTGCGTGGTTTTCCAAGCTGATGGACGCAAAAGTAAGTGCTTCAGAGTTAGTCAGCTAAGTTATTTTATACTGTCTTGAACATTTAGTCTGACTACATTTAATGAAATGCAGGCTTATCATGTGTTTCCTAAATGTACACCTTAAATTAAAAATATTCACACTAAAATTAAAAAAATGTTTTAATCTTAATGGCCTTGGCTTTAAAATATATATAGTTTTACAGTGGTTATTAAGGGTTTGATATACGTTTGATGCTCAAGGTCTCACAGTTTCTGTTTTACCTGGTCTCAGATCTGCACTCAGAGTCCCATGAGTTTAATTAAGGCGCGAGACTTGGCTAATGGTGTCTAATAGGATTCAAAGGGGGGGGGGCATGTTTTCATCAGTCGTCATAACTATGAAAATAACAAAAGTTGTATTTAATATTACAACTGTACATGTCGTTTCAAATAATTATTGTCAAGTTCTGAGCTGTGTATCTGCATCTGCTTACAGCAAAAAGTTTCCATAAATCTCTGGAATATTTTTCCTTTAATTGAATTACACCGATGGAATTAGTTGTTTTTCCTCTGTTCATGTCATCCCTTAAAATATGTGATTCATGCTTGAGTCTACATTTAGACAGAAGGAAGAAACCAAGGAATGGAGTTAAATAAAACGGTTTCACATACAGATATGGCTATCATATCTGTTTCTTAGATATTTAGTTTAAAACTGCAGAATAGCCATAACAAGTTTTACCCTGGAAAATTCCAGAAGTGTCAGTTTCCCTCAGGGATCCAAACTACTTTAAAGAGCCCGGGAGTCCTAACATGTGTTTTGTTCTCTCTTGCCAGCATATGCTGACATGTTCCCCCACAAGCATGCCATGGCAGGGAAGATACCATTTCCAATTCCACCAATTCCTGGCTGGGATCCTGACACCAACCCATGGGATGATTACCTCTACCCTCCATTAACCCCAAAGCCAAAGGAACTCATGCACCACAAAGGTGAGTAAAGCCATTTTTTCTCCTCTCAATTCATTATGTTATTTCTTTAATATTTGTACCAACACATCTACTTTTCTGCAGGTAAACCAAAGGTTCGTCTGACCAGCGACAGTCCGGCTCTCAATGGCTCTAGCATCACGTTCACCGCAAAGCTGGAGTACCCACCATGCCAGAAAGAGGATGCTAATGGGGACCTTGTATGGGATGGTCACTGCGAGGATGGTACGGAGCTCGAGGCCTCAGGTGCTGCCAAAAAAAAACAGACCAGGCCAAGCACAGACACATTACATTACATCATCTTCCTCCACAAAACACCACGGCATCATATCAGACAGCAACAGCAAACAATATTAGTCATTCAAAATTGATCTACAGGCAATGTGTAAAGCGGCATTAGTTCATTTAATGGCCACTTGGGGGCAGCACTGTAAACGCTAGGTCAACATATTATCAATTTATAAAGTTAATATAGTTAATATGCTTTTGCAATTGAAATATCAAGGAGACAAAGAGCAACATTAGAAATTATTTTGAGTTGTTTTTATCTGTGTCCTTACAACTCTGTTTTTGTCTCCTGAGGAAAATATCTGGCTCTTTACTAGCTAAAGGTGTTTATCTGCTCTTCGGTGCAATGGATTTATCGTGGATATTTTGCTGAAAAACTGTCTGTCGTTGCTAGAAACATGGGTTGTGTGACTGAACCAAAACATTCAATTTACTGACTATAGGACCGAAACAATAAGCTGCAAGGTGATCCATAGAGTTCAATGTTAGGGGATAGGTATCTATGTGATTTGTCACATTACATGATGCATCACAAGGGGTAATTTGAACCATTGTAATTTAAAAAATGTAAATGAGTGCAGGTTTACTTTTTTAAGTTTTTGAATAACACAACTGCACTCTCTTCTCTTCATCAGCCAATGGACAGGTTCGTTCTGGTTACGTTTACAAATGGACTTCCTGGTTGGACGACTACGGCTTTGGAAAGTGTCCAGATGCGA